CTTAAGCTACATAATCTTTACTCCCTGGAATGGAGATAAGAAACGCCCTAACCTTTGTAATAGAAATTGACAGGATTAAAATCAACTGGTATAAATACAGATGTAACAAGACAATAAACGGCAGAACTTCTCTGGAGAACCAGACCAGAACTTGGCTGGAGATCCTGGCTAGGCTGCTGATCAACTGAACGCTGTCTCCGTGTCGTTCCTTCTTTGCTGCCTCCGTCCACACCTTTGGGAACCCTTGGACCTCCTGGGGCTTGACCCCAACACCACCCCAGAAGGAACCACCATCCTACATTCTAGGAATGTCCATACGCTTCCCTCCAAGCCGCATGGAGTAGTGTTTGCATTTACGTGTAGGCCTGATGTCACCCCTGTGGGTGCTCATCGTCTTCCTGAGGACAAGGGACCCCAGAGGCCCCAAAAGAGGGGGCCAGCCCGGGTGTCGGGGAGAAGGGCTATACTCACTCGGATAGGACACAGCCTGGTGCATCAGATCCACGCTGGGGCCGCTCAGGGCCAAGGCGCTGACGGAATAGTGGGGCCCCGGGTTCATATACGCCATCATGATCTTTGCGGACACTGGGGACCAGGTGAGTGGGCCTGCAAGAGAAGGGGTGGGTGGGACTCCAACTCTCCCCCGCTACCTTGTGGTGACAGGAAGGCTTGGCTTCAAATCCTGCCTCAGTCTCTTTGCCTCTGTGCCTCAGTTTCCCCTCTATAAAAATGACCTGCTGCTAAGGGTCCCAAAGTTTCACTGAGCCCTGGCCAGTGTGGCTCAGTTGGTTGCAGCATCATCTTGTACACCAAAATGTGGGGGGTTTCATTTCTGATCAGGGCACATACCCAGGTTTCGGGGAATGTGCAGTAGGCAACCAATCCATGTTTCTCTCTCTCTGTCTCTCTTTTCCTCTCTCTAAAATAAATTTTAAAACATTCTGGTGTCCTGGGTGGTGTGCACAGTGGTTAGAGCGTTGGTCCTGTGCACCCAAGGGTTGTAGGTTGATCCCCAGCCCTGGTTGGGGCGTGTGTGGAAGGCAACCAATCTGTGTGTCTCTCTCTCTCACATCAATGTTTCTCTCTCTTTCATTCTCACTAAAATTCAATGGGAAAAATATCCTCAGGTGAGGAATAGCAACAAAAAATACTGGTAAAACCAATTTAAATTTTAAAAAAGTGTCACCAAGACTGTGTGTAGGGCAGAGCTGAAGCTGTGAGCAGACACCATAAATAAAAGTTCTTCCTACTCTGTCCTTTAAAAAGTCTGACCTGCCCTTTCCCTCACCAAAACCTTTCCTTCTAGGACCCCGGGAAAGATGTCCAGCCTCACGCAAACCAGGGAGAGCAGGTGACCAGCTGTCCCGGTCGCGTGGGACACAGGTTTCTGGAGATGTGGGGCGCCCAGAATCAACCCAAAGATTCCCAAACCAGCTGCGTGTCACCCTGAGAGAAGGCCACGTGTGTATTTTAGAGACTGTATACTACCATATTAAATATAATGTAAATTACATAAGATATACATATACTATATATATTCAAAAATATGGTTCTGAGCAGTATGTATAGCATGCTACCATTTGTGATTTTATTATCCTATATAATAAAAGCCTAATATGTTAAGTATCCGGGTGTCCGTTCAACCAATCAAAGCATAATATGCTAATGATATGCTAAGGCTGCTCAACCGCTCACTAAGACGTGCACTGACACCAGTGGGCAGATGCTCTGACCAGTAGGTTAGCTTGCTCCTGGGGTACGGATGATCGGGACTGAGCAAGATGGGCCGGACCACCCTGGAACCCTCCCGCAGTCCCTCCTCAGCCCCAATTGTGCACTGGTGGGGTCCCTCAGCCTGGACTGCGCCCTCTCACAATCTGGGACCCCTCAGGGGATGTCGGAGAGCCGGTTTTGGCCCGATCCCACAGGCCAGGCTGAGGGACCCCATTGGTGCATGAATTCATGCACCGGACCTCTAGTTTTATTATATTAAAAAAAAAACTTGAAAAAAGATTCTTTTTCTTTGGAAAAAATTTGTACTACAGTTAACATTCAATATATTAGTTTCAGGTGTACAGCATATCATTTGTGATGTTTTTTATCCTTAGCCAAACATATGTTTATTGATTTGAGACAGAGAGGAAGAGAGAGAGAGAGAGAGAGAGAGAGAGAGAAATGTGAAAGAAAAACATCCATTGGTTGCCTCCTGACCAGGAACTAAGCAAATCGCTCTGACCAGGAATCAAACCTGCAACCTTTCTGTGTACAGGACGATGCTCCAACCCACTGAGCCACGGGCAAAGATGAAAGTTAAAATCTTTATAGCTGCTTATCCTGGTCAGTAAGTGACAATAACTATGAACATTTTTGCACAACATTTGTAATTTTGAAAAGAGGTTCATTTATCACAGCCTTAGACTCCGCTATCTGCCTCAGCTGCCACATCCAACCCATGGCCGAGCCATGCTTGTCCTGCCTCAAGTCTAGGCAGCTCCTGAAATGCCCCCCTCTTCACCCTGAAAGCCCCTCCTGGTCCAGATTACCAGGGGTAGTTACTGGAATGGAGCAGCTGCTGCTACTTCCTTATTTTCCTGCTTCCGGGCCCCAGCTTCCTCAGTCTTCTCTCCAACCGCGTTCAGAGTCTTCTAAAAATGCAAATCTAATGGTTTCTCTCTCTCTCTCTCTCTCTCTCTCTCTCACACACACACACACACACACACATGGGCTCATTTCTCTCCTGCTCCTCAGGACTTTGCACGTATTAAGTAGAACACGCAGACGTTTGTCTACCCATCTGTCTCCCCCAACTCTGATAACTACCCGAGTGCAGGGATGAGATATATTTCCGTCCTTGCTGTGTCCCTAGCACCCCCGATAAATATATACATTTTAAATATGGAACGCTTCACGAATTTGCACATCATCATTGCGCAGGGGCCATGCTAATCTCCATATCGTTCCAATGTTAGTATATGTGCTGCCGCAGCGAGCACCCCAATAAATATTGGAAAAGCAAGTGCATTCACGCGGCTCTGAGAATGAGGGGTGCAACAAGAAACAATACACACCGCCTCTCTGTTCTCATGGGAGTGAACTTCCAGGTTCCAGTCAT